TTTGTGCTTTCAACATCGATGTCGTACGGGTGCCCGGCACGTCGACGAAACTGGACCCAAGTGTATCGTGCTTCGTTCTTTATGTATCAAAGGAGGGGTCATAATTTTGCCACTTGGGTCACATGAACATTTAAACAGTAGCGATGATCCTGATAGAATCATCCATCCATCCATTTTCTGAACCACTTTATCCTCACAACGGAGGATGCTGGAGCCTATCCCGGCCGTCTTCGGGCATTTGGCGGGGGACAACACCCGAAACCGGTTGCCAGCCAATCGCAGGGCACACAGAGATGAACAACCATCCGCGCTCACACTCGCACCGAGGGACAATTTAGATCGTTAAATCAGCCTGCCATGCATGTTTTTGGAATGTGGGAGGAAACCGGAGTACCTGGAAAAAACCCACGCAGGCCCGGGGAGAACATGCAAACTCCACACAGGGAGGTCGGAGCCGGGATCGAACCCACGGCCTCTGCACTGTGAGGTCGACACGCTAAGCACTGGGTCACCGGGCCACCCCCTTTTCGAATAACTGAGGGGAAAAAAAAGATACTCCAATAAATGTTGGTAACTTGACAGAAATACGCGCAAAGCAGTTGACGTCAAACCAAGCACAACTTTGAAATCCCATCGAGAAACCAAAAAGTGATGCTGACTCTGACTCCACTGTGGGAGCGCGTATGGACCGCCGTGAATCTCTTGTGGCTCTTTGCGTAGGAGAAGATGCACGAGGCGTGCACGCCGCAGCTGCTGACCAGTTTGCGCCGCCAAGTCCTGGCGCTCACGCGGCAGAACGACGACAGCAAAGAGTTTGTGCGCTTCTTCCACCGGCAGCTCGGGGCCATCCTGCAGGTACGGCGGCGGTCATTTCAAGGGAGGGACGCCCCCATTTAAAACGAGGACTCGATTCAGCAACTTTCACATCACCTCAAAACAATTTAATTTTGTTGAAAAATAATTTGTTAAAAAAATGACTGAGCAACAAATATAGTGATTTTATTTTGCAGCCCTTTTGGACACGCCGACTAAGCCACTTCTCAGACAGTACAGGCATTCTGCAGAGCTTATTAGATTTATTCCCAACACTTACCTTGGTTAATAATGCATAAGAATAACAAACGATGATGGCGGCGCGGGCACCCGCAGCGGCTCCTCTCTCTCCTGAGGAAAGAAATTTCATCTGTGCTGTATGTTACACATTTGACAATAAAGTCGACTTGAAATTGAACGACGTAGGGGGAGTCGACACTAGTAGCACTGAGCATTGCATAATCGTCAAGCCATCAGCTGTTCGAAAAAGCAAATTCTCCAAACTAAGCAATGAAAAAAAAAAGATTTGAATGGTTGTTTAATTTCAACTCGATCAAAGACTGTCTTTTGATTTCCAAATCCCGCCTTTGCGATATGCGCCCTTAAAAACAAGCGTGACCTTTTGCTAGGATTCCCTGAGCCGCTTCATTGGCCAAACCCTGAAGGACTGCGGCGAGGACCTGCTGGTGGAGGTCTCGGACATCCTCTTCAACGAGCTGGCCTTTTTCCGACTCATGCAGGATTTGGACCACGGCATCGCCGCCTCCCCGGAAGCCGGACACATCGCGGAGAAGGCCGAACGTCCTCCTGATGCCGATCAAACTTTGAAGGTGATGTCATTTTTTTTTTTTTTATTGTTCTCCAAAAAATAGGCGGGCATTTGCATTCACGGAATCTTGTTGACTCCAAATTAGGGCAGCGCAGCACTCGAAGTGAATGCCTCAGCCTCCCCCGACGAAGACACGGTTTGTCCTTTTTGATTGTCTCGCCCTTTCTTTTTTTTTTTTTTTTTCGCCCCCACTGTGCCTCATTTGGAACTTTTCCCCCTTCACAGGATCGAGACGAAACCAAGCAGAAGGTTCCTTCTCTCTTGCCGACTGACACGAAAAGCTACGATGAAGATGAAGATGGCGAAGAGGCTGATGGGCAGGCGATGCCGCCATCCATCAGTAAGCGAAACGAGTGTTCAACTCGAGTTTTCCCGAGGGAGGAGACCCAAATAAAAACGGGACGTGTGTAATTCCTCCAACCTGCTGTAACTCTCCGACGTGTCTTTCGCGGAGGGCTCTCCAAAGCAGAGAGCCAGGCGCTGAACAACTACGGCAGTGGCGAGGACGAGAACGACGACGACGACGGGCGGGAGCCGGACGAGTTTGAGGCGGCCCCCGTGGACGTGCTGACGTCCCTGCAGGTCACGGCGGAGGGCCCGGCGGAGCCACAGGTGGTTTTGCGACATCCCCCCCGCCCCCTTGGGTCGGCTTCCTAGCAGGCGGCGTGTAACCTGTGCTCGCATCCTTCTGCAGGCTCAATCGGCTGAGGAAACAAAAGAAAGTGACTTGGAGCCGGCCAACGGCGACGGCGGTGGGTGCTCCTCCTCCTTTTAACACCATCAGTTAAACACGACTTTACTAACAAGTTTGTTTTGAATAAAAATACAAATAGTCCTGATACGACAATGAAAGCCGCGTCGTGAATATTCGCTTGCAAACACCATTTTCGTCATAATAATTTGCTTCTATTTTCATCCCAACCGACTGCCGAAAGTTTCCCCTGTTCACACACTTTTGTTTCTTTGACTCGACCGGTCGGAATGTTTTTAATTATCAGGTGGCATGTATTGTTTCACCTTTTTTTTTCCGACATTATTCTAATATTACAAACTATTTCTGTTTTAAATCACAAAACAAAAAAAAATACAAAACGGTTTCTTTTATAACTGCCTGTTGCAGTGTACTAATATTCTAAAAATAAATTGTATGGCTATAGACTTGACACTCAATATATATATTTTTTAATCACTACGCTGCGCTTCAGGATAGGAAAAAAACCCTTTATTAGTCTCGCAATGGAGAAATTCCCAATTCACAGCAGCAAATTTATGAAAGGAAGAACAACAAAATATAGGAGCTGCTGGACAGACTCTTGTAACGTTAATTTAATTGACTGTCGTGGACGTTTATACTCGTCATGCGGTCATGAGCACATCTGCATGTCTGTCATTGAGGAAGAAATTGTCAGTAGCCATGTCTTCAAATTTTTATCGAAAGCCCCCCCGTTTCCATCTCTTTTCCCACCAAACAGTCGAGAGCGGCAAGTTGCCAGTTCCGGCTTCGACTGAAGACGAACCCGCCGAGACGGCGAGTTACCACTCCGATAAAGAGGAGGACCCGGACGGCGTCATCGCCGCCGCCGCTTCAGAGGAGAACATCAAAAGCGCCGAAGTTCACGCGGCCCTTAAAGACTCAAACACCACCAGCACCCCCGACACGGAATCCCCCGTCATGATCAGCGTCGACGTAAGTACAAAGAAATGTGACGTGGAAGCATCACATAATGCGGTGGATCAAGTACTAGATTCTAAACTTTATAGAATCCACTTAAGAGCAACGTGTAAAATTGTGAAGAATTGAGTTAAAAAAAATTGTCTGTCATTGTGCTTTTTAGATGCAATTTGATTGCTTGTTATCAAGTTCTCGTAGGCTGAAATGTGGACGTTTTCCGGCACACACAGATGACAGCGCGACGAGAGCCAATCAACTGTTCTGTCATTGGATTGCAGGAAGCCGTCTCGGGCAACAGTAGCCAGAGGACGTCGGACGAGGACGATTTTGTCCGGGTGGACGATCTTCCGTTGCAGCTGCCCGTCACCAGCCAGGTAAAAGCAACAAAATGTGACTACATTGAAATCTCACCGATTTAATCGACGGCCTGACCGACAGGAGGCGCTGCAGAAAAGGATCGTGGATGAGCAGCAGACCAACGACCTGCGCGTGGAAATCCTCAGTGGCAACGCGGAAACGCCGCCGGGGCTTGTGGGAAATGGCGGCCACCTGAAGGAACCAGGTTGGATTTCGGCTCTTTTGTTCCCATTCGCACGTTAACCCACAATCAAAATTTGGATGTAGCTCAAATCATCTTTCCCCATTGAAATAAATGGAAATGCCTTTTTTCCGTTCCATTTGTAACATGTTTTGAATAAGAACATTCAAAATGTATACTCACAACTATATGACTGGCACAGTGTTGCAACTTTTTTTCCACTGTGAAATCTGTGATTTTTTTTTCTTGTTTCAGAATCTTCCGAATGAGCCGTGACGTGAACAGTCGCCCAATGAGCTTGTGTAGGTTTTGCACCATCTTCTGTTTAACGAGTTCATTTTAACCATACTGTTAGTCGTACCTTTAAGTTGTATTGCACACATATTAGTTTGTAATTTTTCCTTCCATAGTGTGTTGGGTTGTGGGTCGGAGTTTAATGTCAACGCTTCTGACAAGTTCAAAACCCATTTGAACATTTTTCAGTCATTAGTTTGGAGCGTGAATTGGAAAGGTTCCTGCTCTCTTTATGCAACTCAGAAACGCTTGATTGGCTTTCTTTTTGTGTTCGACCGTAAACGGATTTTCCATGTTCACGTCCATGTCAGGACTGTTAGATTTTAAATAAAAGTGGGTGTTTTAACCAAAGAAGCTGACTTGCAAATTTTCACTTATTTTCCGTGCATGTGTGAATTATGCAAAAAAATAAAATAAAATTCTGGTATATTGGGAGCTTTTAATTTTAGTAAAAAAATCACAGGAGAAAAAAACTGGAATTTTACAAGGAACAACAATTTGATGAGAGAATGAGCTGCAATTTTGCAAGAGTTGTCATATTTGAGGACAAACAATTTTTCTTAAAGTGTAAGCAAGTCACTTTAACAAGAACTATTTCAGAAAATATTTCCTTTCGATAACACCAAAAAAAAAAACAAATTTAAAATTTAAAAGCTTGTAAATTTGCAAACAGTAGCAAAATCGAGTATTCTAATAAAACTTCCAAGAAAAATCATTTTTTTCCTACATGCCAATATGTTGTCAAATACCTTGATCGATCTTTGGGTGCAATTTTAATCAAGCATTTCCTTACTTGTCCAAGTATGAATTAAAATCAGTTACATTCTGGTATTTTGTAAAAATGGGAAAAAAAGTACAGTCACCATTGCTGGCAGTGTTTGATTTAAAATAGTCAGTATAAAGCTGATAGTCGTAGATCAGTAGAAAATTATCTGTCAAAGGTCCAATGAATTTTAAATTCTGATGGGCCATCTCGTGCTTCAAGAGAAAACAAAACAATTGTCAGGATTACTTTCCTGCACTTGTAACCAAGCTGACCTGTTAAAACATTGAGGAGCACTAATTGACACAATGTACACACATTAGAATTGATCAAGGCTACAAAAACGACCACGCTTGGGCAAAGACGTTGCTACTTGCATTCACTGCCGTGTACGTTGACATTTGTCCACTGGAATCAAACCGTTCGCTGCCACCAAGAAATAGAAAGACATTGGGGGGTGAACTGTGCTCTGAGCACGCGCTGATTCAAACCGTTCAGAAACTCCAGAGTGTTGTTCAAAATGTGCCGTTGGGTTATTCGAAGTGCTGGAGTGAGCTCATTCTAGGTTCAGTAGTTATACAGTTGCGGAAGATAAAAGTTCTGTGGGATGTGAAAGTGGAGTCTCCCTCTCAAACGGCTGGCAGTGAATGAATGAAATACCCATTTCCATTGGCTGGGACGCTCGGCGGGTGCAGCCGGACGGTAGTGTGGTGGCGGCGTCTTCACCAGGGCATGCAGGGGTTGGGGCAGTCGCGGACGTACGACTCCAGCGTGCCTGACGACACTTGCATCAGCGTGGTATACGTTGTCAACTGTTGGTGCGTCAAAAATGGGAGAAAAATGAGCAGGACGGCGGTTTAGTGAGACACGCTCCAAATTAAAAGTTGTCACCCCTCACCTTGTTGAGGACGGGCTTAGTGGACAGCACGTCGTATAGCGTTTTCAGGGACACGTTCTGTCAAACGGCAAGAGTCACATGACTGTCACGTAACCATGACAACAGAAATAATACATTGTAAAAATAGGAGGGGGGGGGGGCGTTCTATAGAGGAAAGGTGCAAATCTAAGGGACCGGGACAAGTTATGTGTAATTGCTAAGAAGAAAAATGTCATGGAAAAAATTCTACAGCAAAGTCGCCAATTAAGACGAAAGCAAAGTCTTTGAAAAGTCATAAAGGGAAGTCAGGGATACGAGTCCAGCCTACGCTAGACAGACTCGTCGTGGTGGGTGAACATGAGAGCCAATATTACTGTTACACCCCGGCTGGAATGAAGTGCTGTCAAAATTTGAATACAGCCCAACCTGAGGTCAAAGTTCTTTTTTGTAATTTGACAAAGTCCAAATTCATGATTGTGCAAGAAGTTAAAAAAAGAAAAAAAAAAGGCAAATTTGGGTGACGGTTTTGTCCTCACGGCGCGCGTCGTTCGGTTCATGCACTCGATGGCGGGCGTGCGGCGGTCGTCCAGGAAGAGGGGCTCCTTCCAGTGGTCGTAGTTTGTCTCCAGCACAAACCAGCGGCCCAGCTTCAGATCGATCCTCCAGAGAGAGAGAGAGAGAGAGAGAGAGAGAGAGGGAGGGAAGAAGAAGAAAAAAAAAGGCTTGACACACTTGAGTTGTTTTTAGGGCTAATCAGGTGACAAACGCAATTGTCCAGTCATGTGCTTTGTGCAGTCAATCGTTGAGCAATAAAACATTTCACAAGAGCCAAAAGGACAAAAGAGCAATTTGCTTCTCCTTTCGGCTTCAAGCTCAAGTTGTGCGTTGACCTCCACCAAGCACATTCGACGAGCCGACCGGACCTTTGGACTTGTCGGACGAGGAGGACCACAGAGAGAAAAAAAAAGTTGAAATCAAAAGAAAATATTGCTGAAAAATAAAATCGAAGTAAAAACAAAATGAAGATGAGAACGGTGTCAGTTCATCGGAATAAAAGTGGCTTCTGTTCAAGAAATGAGTTCGGGGATTTTTTTCCAGAAAAACAAAAAATCGAAAGCAAATTAAAAGTTCATACTTTTGTGTGAATAAAGAATTTCTTCAATAATTTGGTTCGGTGTTTTTCTTTTAGAAAATAAAAATTTCTTCAAAAATTAAGGAAAAAACCCCAAGAATGAATATCTATTGAAATAAAAATACAAAACTAAACAAAATATTAAAACCAAAAAAGTTTTATTTTTTCATGAATAGTGGCATAACTGAGTCCCAATTTTTTCAAGAGAAAAAAAAACCCTAAATATTAAGTTTTTGAAAAAAAAAAGCTTGTTTTACAATGAACATCGTCGCATTTCTTTCAGAATTTGATTGGAATTTTTCCCGAGACAAAAACAAAATAAATTCAAAATATCCAAAGTGCGAGTCATTTCTAAAAGGGGAAGGGGCGACTTACTCCAGGATATCCAGACTGGTGAGTCTGGATCTGGTGATGATGCAACCTTGCCCCGTGCTGTTTCCTCCCAGGATGAAGTAGGCGGGCGCCAGAAGCTTCGTCTGAGCCAAACGAAACTTTGCCTCATCGTAGCTACGTCGCAAGTCGGAGAGAAGAACACGCAACAGTCGTCTTTGGAAATGGCTAAAACGATCATCAAAATTGTGCGCTTCAAACCAATCCAGCAGATTTGCCCCCTGAGACTTTTTTTGTGGTTCGACTGATGATAGTGTCCACCACATTTTATGTTTCGAAGCGCCTTGGGGAGCGAATTGTCACATTTTTTTTTTTGGCGTGGTCGGCTCATGGTTGACATGCCTACCAAATTTCAGGTTGAAGCAAAACTAGCTTCAGGGGCTTTAAAAATCAATCAATCAATCAAACTTCCAGACAAAAAAATGAAATACCTGGTTGCATTTTCCAGTACGGAGCGAGTGAGGAAGCTCATCCAGACACCATCCCGCTTTCCAAAGATCCACTCCAGGATGCCTACACGAGGACATAAAAATGCATTTGAGAGTCAAAAAGTCCGAATTTTAATGGAAACAATACGAGTCGGAATCCTCGCCAAAAAGCGACTGACCGATGTAGCCTCCGTCCAGACTGAAGCGTTCGTTCATGGTGAGGCTGAACCTGTTCTGAGAAAGGAGACGACATAAAATCATTTACAGGTGATATGACAAGTCTGCACACCCCTGTTCAGATGTCCGTTTTGTGTGTGTGTGTGTGTGTGTGTCTTACAGGCTTGAGTCCGGTCAGCATGCCGACGTAACCGGCAAAGCTGGTGGACTTGAAGACGGTGCGGTTGTTCCTCTTGAAGTTCACATTGATCACTAAAGACCTCAGCTGCTCACTCATGACCCAAGACTTGTTCTTCACATCCCATCTGACACACACACACACACACACACACACACACATACGCAAACAGACAGATTTGACTCATGTCTAAACGCCACAGGAGACATTTTGGCACGAGCATCGCGTGCGGATTTCAAATGATCTTTTTTCCACAGTCACAGGTTGCTAGGCATATTTTGCGGGGCACAATTATTGACACCCAATATGTATATTTTTTCACATTTCATTTAATGCAAAGGCCATTCATGAACTCTTTGCTGCTACTTAGCCAAAAGCAGAGAACTACGGGGGAAAAAAAGTCTGAACCCTAGCAGATGAAAAAGTAATACCGGGAGTACTTCAAAAAAACGTACCACCCCCCCCCGCCCCCCCTCCCCATTGGAAAACAGGCAGAGCTCTTACCCCATGAACAAACCAAAGTCCAGGTTGCGACCATGCAGGAGGTTTCCTATTAACAAAAAAAAAAAAAAGTATTTGGCTCAATTTTGGTGACACAATTGATTGACGTATGCATTTTTTAAAATATCGTTTCTCCATTTGGTCATCTTCGACGGGAGTTGACTGACCTTTCGTGTCCTCTGCAACCACCGAAGTGCACACCGTAAACACCTCGTAGAAGATGTTAAAGAGGACCACCTCACCTACAAAAATGAACAGGAAAGTAAATCTGCGGTCCATGAGCTGCTTATAGAGGGTGGAAAAATGGCCTACATCATAATACAAAAACTCTTAACCCTATGAGAAAAAGGTCATAAAAGCTACGAGAATTTGTTTTTAATTATCCCAAAAAAAGTCATACATATCCTTACATTGTACAAGAAAAAGGTCCCCCAAAAATTATTGCAATCCTACAGGGAAAAAAAAAAGAATGCTATGAGGAAAAAAATTGAATAATTTCCCCCAAAATTGTAATTTGACACAGGAATAATTTGTAAACAGACGTGACCGTTTACCGAGAGGAACTCCCGAGGCGGCCGCGATTCCTTTCATTTCGTCACCAAACGGATACGGGAGCGAGTTGACCATCAGCGGCTGGCCGCGCAAACATCAAAACAGATTCAGATTAAAAACTACATGCACAGGATTCATTTGTTGGGGGGGAGGGAAAAACAAGGCGAGTTCCTCACCAGAGTGACATCCACCAGCATGACAAGCTTCCCGCCGGGAACAAAAGCGTTGGCCAAGTCTCGCACGGCCTGGATCATGCTCACCAACTTGGATGCAAACATCACATTGAGACGCGGGAGGCAGACAACAATAATCCTCAAAATATTTCAATAATAAAAATGATGGTGATTGTCGAGAAAAAGATTGCACCTCTGCCCTTTTGTCAGTGATGACGGCTGTCCATCGGTCCTTGGGCGGCAAGTCCAGGTCCACGGTGTACCAGCTCACGGCGCCTTTAAACCTGAATTTCAATTGGGCTTTCATGTAACATTTGGAACAAGGGCAATCAACAAAACACATGTGAATAAATCACAATCATTACGTCAAGATGGTAACTCGTCATACCGCGGTTACTCGGTTTTGTGTTGTATTTTTCAGACTTCAATTCGAAATCGAGGGGATGCGCAATGCTCTCCATTCGCTACCCTCAGATACACTTCGTCATGGCACACTTGAAATGCTAAAACCCACTGTCGTTCAATGACAAATATTTTTCTTAGATGTAGCTTCTTGTTATAATACCTCTGAAAAGGAAAAAAAAAAACCTTCATACGTCAATTTCAGCTTTTATTTTCTTTGTGGTAGTTTTATTTCCAAAAGGTGTGCTGCCTTCAGGTGCAGTCTGGAAATAATATTAGCTTCCTTGATCTCTCCCATTCTCTTTATGCGTCGACTCGACACCAGAACGTAGATTTTTCGCAACCTTAGAATGTTGTGTTTTTTTAAAAAAACATTTAAACTACGTTTTCCGTGTCTAATTTGCACAAACTGAGGGCAATCTTGAAGCGTTGTGCTCAACGAGGTGCAAGTGAAAGCACGATAGCCCAACCATAACAAAACACAAGCAAGGCGTCCCTTCGTGCACGGCAATGTGACTTACGTGGGCCCGCTCGGAGGATACATTCCCGTCCGACAGTCTTCCGTATACTGTAAATAAATACATTACAGAGGAAATCGAATTATTCCAAGAGTTAGGTTTCAAGTGACACCGTTTCTTCACACTTCGTCAACGAGACAGGGACCGAAACACGAATGTTACTTACCGGCGGCACAAACTGTGACGACGTAGCCGCGCACAAAGCAGCTAAAATAAAAAGAAAGCCGGCCATCCTGTTGACACCTGCCAACTGAAGACAAATGTTTGAAAATGACTCCAGAGTGGGGCTGCTTGTGTTGCTCGGGACACGGAAAGCCGACTTACGTTCCACCTGGGGGGGGGGGGAGCTCCGATGTCAATAAATGTGAATTAACGTTTTCTTGCGCAATATGACGGGACAAAGACGAGTGCAGTTGCTCTTATTCATTATCCAAACAAGCTAAATTCTGTCGATTAAAATATTAAACTGTCATTTTCGTAAAAAAATATGTTGGGTGTTATATAACCCCCCCTTCAATGGTTTCTTCCACGCGGAAGATTGTCGGAGTTGCTTTGGGTTATTTTGCGGTTGCGACACCAACAAGGGTAACCAATGTCAGTAAATGTGATTAAATACTACTAAATTAGTAAAACGGAAATACTTGTAATGGTTTTTATGGATAATCACAAGCCTAAATTATATTTCGGCCACAGGCGCGGATACGTCTGGTTAACATTGTGTCGATATAAAATCAGGCACCCCTCTAACGGTCATTGGTTCTTTCCTTTGCGGAAGTGGCTCACGAGGGCTGTTTTGTCGTATCAGACGGGGAGGGGAAATCGAAATCAATCTATTTTCAGCACCCCTCATATTGAATTGGTTGCGGAGGCGGGGCTTACTGGAGCCTATCCCGGTTGATTGCGGGCGGGAGGCGTACAACACACCCTGAACTGGTCCCCAGTCAGTCGCAGGGTTTATACTAGAGAGAATAACATATATTCGCACCCACAACCAGCCGTCACTGAGTGGGAACCGATCCCAAGCTACCCGCACACAAGTCGGGCGAGTGTAACACAGCGACCGAAATCGGCAATAAATAAATAGTACAATATCCTGCACATAACAAGAAGTGGTGTTAGGTAAACACTGGTTAGTAACATAACACCCCTCTAAGTTTAAGAATCAATGCTTCTTTCCACGCGGAAGTAAAAGTAAAGACAAGTATTATTTAGATTTAAAAAATAACATCAGTACATACAAGTATGAAACACATTTTTGGTAACATGGATACAGACTATTAAAAATGGTCTGAATTTGTACTACTGTAAAAATTGCGCTGAAAAAAAAAAGACATGGGACTGCTTGCAATGAAACAATCCTTTGAAACGCACTTGCCAATCTGATGGTTCTTTCTACGTGGAAGTGGAGCACATGACTTGGGTTTAGCTCCACAATAACTTTTCATTTCCTTTCATGATCTCCTCAATGCACTGCGTGACACGTGCACAACCCTTACCAAGATATGGCAGCGTTCCAAAAGAGCAAAGTTGATGCGAATATGTGAAATGGCCCCGAATATTCGCTGAGGTGTTTGACATTGAAGCCACCTACTTTGTTTGACCCACCATGAACCATACACTCACGCGGAGTTACAAAATATTCCCATCATATGTTTGTGGGATATACTTTTTAATCTTTGATTTCTAAATATAAATTATGCATAATACACGAATGGGCACAACATGTTTATTAATTCCCCCCTCCAAAAAAACAACAAAACCCCCCTCCAAAACAGTTCACTTGCAGTATCGATCAGCTTTCATTTTGCTCCTCCTGTAATGACAAAAAATATGACACCATCATGACATGCATCAGAAAGAGAAGTCAATGGACACTGAAGTGGCTTTCATCTGTGCACATTTGAAAATAAAGTTGGACTTGACTTGCGTGTGCCATGGTGGAAACATTTGTTTGGGCAGTACCTGTCGAGCAAAGCCTCGTGAAATTTTCCATCGAGTCTGGCTTTCTTCAGCATCGACGGCTCGTCCTCGTTCACCCTCAGGCGACGGTCCTGGAAACTCTGAAACTTCTTCCTATCAAGTCAGAATTTCATGAAAGAAAAAAAAAATTTTAGGCTCAAACGTTCGCACGCATGGCGACTTGGTGCTTGGCCGAATTCACGACATATAAAATGTATGTTATGTTTTTATATGAAACACGAGAAGAAAACTAAAGTTTCTTTATGCATACATTTCTCAGAGAAAAAAAAAAGTGCAGTTGGGAGTCGAGCTGAAGGTCGGCCATTATCCAGATCATCACGACAAAACAAAAGGTCACGCGCGGACGGAAAGGAGAAGCTCGCGGATGGGCGTGCATAAGCGGTCGCTTCTTCTGATGCGCGCCTTGATTGGCACGCCATCTCGGAAGCGTGCTCGCGCATTAAGTGATGCAATTTGCATGTCAACATGATGTCGACTGTGTGTATATGCGTGTGTGTTGAGTTGATGCACAGATAATGGGAGCGAAATAAGTGCCGCGTCCAAAGGTGTTCGAGTCCATACCAGTTTTCGAGCTTTCCCAGCACCTGAGCTCAACTCTACACAATATTGACACAAAAAAAAAAAAAAAAAAATGACAACCGTCACTTTAATCAGTCAATGGTTGGCACGCCGTTGTGTCTCTTTCACAGCCAAGCGCCTGTCTTCCTTCCCTTGCGCTTTTTTTACATCCCAGTCAAGCTTTTCTTTGATCCTGGCCTTCTGGTGACTGTTTTGTTGCCAAGATTTTGTGAGTTTGGAAGAGTTTTTAGTTTTGCCTTTTCTTGAAGCCAGTCCCTCAGTTGGCGGTTTATGTTGAGTTTCAAGTTCTGACTCCTCTTCCTGCACTCTTAAGACTAATACCATTCGTTATTTGACTTTCTTGATGAATAACTTTTATAATGCAAAGCTATCTGCGTGAAATGAAATCTCCTCCCCGGCGAGGTGTACTCTGACAAGTGTTTGCGTGGACTGAACAGGGAAGCAAAATTAATGAGCTGGAACGAGAAAAGTGCTGACCGGCACTAAAACGAATCCTAGTCTAGTCGCCAGACGCAAATCAAGTGCTGTGTACAACGGAGGCCGCGCCGACTTGGCTGACCAGCAATATGGAAATAAAAGCGGCAATCGCGCCGAGGGCAATTCGGACCATGTGACAAGTTTTTAAGAAAGAACTCGTCAACTATAAAAGCATGAGAATATGTCATAAAAGTGAATATGTGCACCGCACTTACACGTAATTGAGCTCGCAGGATTTGACGTTGCCTCGGTCCTCGTCGGCGATGTCGTCTTTGGGCTTCGCGTCTCGCTCTGCGCACGAGCGGATCTGCAATCGCGCAGTCGCTCGCCGTTAAAAGCCGGCAGGTCATGCGAGGGTCGCGGCGGAAAGCGCCATGAGCACACCTTACCTTCACCATCTCGCCGTCGCCCGCCGTCTTGCTCGTGGCCTCGATGTCACCGCTCTCGCTGTACGAGATGAAGCAGTTGTTGGCGGCCAGGAGCGCCATCTTGCCCTGATCCACGAGGAAAGGCCAATTGTTTTATCTCGAGGGCAGCTCTCGTAAGCTTACATGACACTCAAAGACGCTTCGTCGCCTTTAAAACATTTCAACGATGACAGTCACCTCGAACAGACTCCGAAACTTTTAGCTGCATTCAAAACTAAACGCGCATCGATATCGTTGCCTTAAACACTCAAATGCTCTAATCTCAAAGACGCTGAAAAATACGTTGGTCGTCTTGAAAACGTACTCAATCCTAAAAACGTAACTCTCAAGCACTCAAAGATGCTCGGTCGCCTTAAAGACGCAAAACGACGACCAAAGACGCCGAGTCAATTGAAAAAGTCAAGGATACTCAAGATGTTTAGCCGCACACTCAAACACACCTTTTTGCCTCGACAACTCAACATCTGAAGACACTCAAACATGCTTAGCAGCGTTAAAACTGCAACAACCAAAGACACCTGACTGTCATAAAAACTCAACCCACAAACATTCCGAGACACTCAGATACTTATTCACCTAAAAATGTCCCCAAAAAAATCAAAGATGGAGTCACAGCCATCTCGTTACCTCTGCATCCAGCGCCCTAGACGCAGAATTTTCCCGCCAGACGCACAGTGCCAAATAATGTGTGTTTTTGGGACACAAGGAAATTTCTCAGTCCAAAAAAAAACTACGGTCAATCTTTTTTTCCAGCAACGATCGCAGTTTGATAATCGCCGCCATTGTCGTTTTGATCTCGCGTTAAGTAATCTCGCGTGACGAGATTTCCGTTCTCGCGAGACAAGATTGGCGAGATCGGCCTTCACCGCGTGCACAGCAGACAATTGCCAAGTCGTGTAACGTTAAAACAAGTGTTGTGAAAGTTGATCGCGGAGATATTGCAGAGGAAGCAGCTAAAGTTGGATTTGACAGTTGGCTCAAACTGTCAAATTATCACTGGAGTCACCTATTGACACGCTTATCATGAAGCTTCAGCACTCAAAGACGCTCAAAGGCGCCGAGTGGCCTTAACAGGAAGAGGGGAGTGAGCTACCTCTTGAAAAACGGGCTCCCACTGTTCTCTGGATCCAATGGCATCGGAGCGGCCCACCACCAAGTTGTCTGCATTGAGACCCAGGTACTTCCCGTAGCCCGACTTCAAAGCTATTCTGGAAAACGGGGGGTGGGGGCGGTAGGAACACCAACCGCAAAGAGTCAGGATTCTGTTCAGGACTTTGGGTTCATACCTCGGAGTCATAGACTGTCAGTGAGTTTGTCATCACCTGTTATCAGAGAGCTTGACTGCAGTGAACTGTTCAGGGGGGTCTGGTCCTTCGTCCTCTAAAACAAAAAATAAATTAAAAAAATTATACAGTCCAGTTAATAATGAACTAACTTGTGCATATGTGCAGGGGAGTGCTTAAGTTATGTTATCGTAAAAAGGTAAAAATGATGTTGCAGTCATTTTTTAAAATGTGCATAATTTCTTCGCACCTGCCTCGTAGTCATTAATAATGCAAAAGGCTCCTCGAGGCCCACGGGGGTCACCATTATGGAAAAAAAAAAGATTGCCGTTGCTTTTTGTGAGTTTTACGATGGCTTAATGCCTCAACTCTAAAGGCACTCAAAGGCACGTCGCCTTACAAACTCAAATTCAACCAAAGGCTCACGGCCTCCTTAAAACCTAACACTCACACTGAGAGCGGCTTGAAACAAAAAAAAAATCTCAAATCAACGCCGAAATACTCACACACTCAGACGCCAAGTGTCTTAAACCTCAAAGACTCGAAGCTACATGTACGTAAACAGCAATGGTTGATTTAAAGTGACCGAAAAATACAGTTGAGTGAAAAAACCCCAATACTCAAAGACACCTACAAAAAGCCGCCTTAATTTTTTTTTTTTACTTCTGTTAGCAGCTTATTTCATTCGTGCGCAGCATAACGGCTAAATGCTACGTCACCTTGTTTGCTTTGAACTCAGGCTCCATGAACTGACCGGAATCTGCTGACCTCCGAGACCTTTTAGGTTGATATGTTCATTTCTTTCACGTGCTCAGGACCTTAACGATTCAGTGATTCAGAAGCAGAACTTGAAAGTCTTTTCCACAGCTGACTCAAGACATTCCAAAATGTTAACTTGCACTCAAAAGACATGCGGTCCATTTAAAAACTTCAGAATGAACCGCATTGGAAATCCAAAAATCCACTGGCATTTGGGGAGCAGTGGAACAAAGCAGGCGGCCACGTCAACACCTTCCTGGTTCGCGGGGTGCCGTCTATGTGCAGGAGTTATGTCATCGTTTTTGGAAAAAGCGTCCTCTTTTCTCCTTGTGAATTCCAGCTGGCGTCCTCTTTGATCTCCTGGCAATGGGGAGAATGTGAGGAAGGAGACACTTGGGGAATTGAGGGAGTTTGCGGTTTCTCTGCACTTTTCCAGCGCCTTTGATTAAACGCGCGCTGAATTAATCTGCGGAGCTGCGAGAGAGGGGGAAAAAAAAAAAAAAACGCTGTGTGCCCTGCGGCAAACTCCTCCTCACGACGCCCGCCCCACTCTCGTCCTTGCCCTGGACTCGACCCCCTCTTCGGCCGCTCCATCTCACGTCTGTGTTTCGACATCGCAAAGCTGAATTTTGTGGACAACTTCTTGGAAGTTAGAACACAGAAAAACAGCACATTTTAAGTGAGATTTGTACAGGTGTTGTTGCCTTATAAGCACCTATTTCCTCAAATGGAGGACGTCCCTCTCATGGTGTGTCGAGTGGTGCGTTATCCACTTGGGAAATCAAACATGCCCGCGGCCTCACCTTGGTGCGGCGCACCAACTGTGAAAAGCCCCGTGTCCAGGGCGTGGATGTAGGAATTGTTGTGCATCTTCATGGTGTGTCGAGTGGTGCGTTATCCACTTGGGAAATCAAACATGCCCGCGGCCTCACCTTGGTGCGGCGCACCAACTGTGAAAAGCCCCGTGTCCAGGGCGTGGATGTAGGAATTGTTGTGCATCTCAATAGCGACCGTGCCCATGATCTCGCCAAAATGTCGGACGGCCCACCAACCGCCTGGAGACGAAAGAAGAAGAAATTCCATTTACTAAATCACTACTGTTTGCGAAACATGAAGACAGGGAGATGATTACTATTAAACAGGAGGAGGGGCACATACCGACAACATCCAATTTGGATTGGTTATCTGCTGCCTTTCTCTTCTTGTTTTTGTCCTTCTTCTTTTTCCTGTCAATAAGAGAATGGAGTGGAAAAATTGGAAATTGCAACTCTCACATTTTCTTCTTCTTTTTACCCATTACTATTTTGTTTATTTATTCACGGATACAAATGTGTGAAACCAAATTTACCACTCAAAGACGTTGATTCGTGAAGAAAAAAAAAACGAACAAAATTAAGACTAAGTCGATTTGAATTCTGTTAATTGTGCTGTCCTGGATATCAATAATTGATGCCTTATTTCGTTCATCACTTGACCGAATTCAACTCCCCATCAGCGTCGCGCGGTTGCACGATATCGCCAGCAACACGCTTCTTGTTGTGCTTACTAATATTTAGAAGACGTCAATTGACACCAACGCAAAATAAGACACATTATATAAAAATAGAACATTTCAGTTTCACGGTGGGCTGTCTTATCGTCCATTATCTCAATCACGTCAACTTTCGCCTGTGAGCATTTATCTTGAATCGCTAAAGCTCCAACTGAAATGACACCGTAGCATTAAAACACCCCACAATGTACCCCTCCGCAAGACATGTCCCGCCTTACCCTTTATTCTGTCCCTTCAGAACCAATTTGGTCGATTTAACGCTGGAATATTCCGCCATTGTGTTTGCGCGGCGACGACAGGGAAGCGGAAGTTGGAAGAACAACTACGGCGGCCGCAGAGGCACGCTCCATTGCGACTTCGACTTTTTCGCAAAAAACAAATCTTCCGGTTGAATCGAAGTCTTGGTATAACGCCCCGATCTGAAATTTGCTGTTTTATCCTACGTGTGTGTTCCTAAGTTAGCTATTATTAGCTGAAGGATGCTGTATATTCAACTCTTGTTTTCTTCTTTTTTTTAAATACGTCAAATGTCAATTTAGGATTTGAGCATGCAGCAGCCACGCTTCACAGGTGTAAAATCCTCTCCTCTGAGCCTCTTTCTCCAAATAACCAGCAGGGCAACCTGCCCTCCACAGTGACATCCATCAGCAGAGTCAAAGCTCCGTGAAGCAGAGCAATGGGGCGCTCCGGTCCGACGTGAAAACCGTTCAGACGCACCTCCACTCTCATCATGTTAGAATAAAAGAGCTCATCTTTACTTAAAAGAGGGAAAAAAGTGAAACGAAGAACGTTTTTGATGTGGCAGAGAGCAATGAAAACGGCAAAAATCCCCGCAGGGGGTGTTTACTAATTAAATTCCTACATCACTCATTAAAGGAATAAGCTCTCACCTAGAAGCAGAGGTGAGACCGGTTAATAACCATATGAATAATGTGTAATAATGTTAACAACTAATAAGGAGGGCTAACGAATGTCTTTCTTCAGAGCTGTTCCATGGTGAATTTTGGTGAGAGAAGCGGGAAACATCCCGCACCAGTCAAGCTACTTTCTTGCGATGCCATCCATGCTTTCGAAAGCGCTCATCTTTTGGCTTGCCGGTGAGCTGGAGTCTATCGCATTTGATCTTTGGCGAGGGAAGCGGGGTACACTGTCGGGCTGGTCATGAATAAATAAAGTGTGGAGCAACTCCGGTTCAGTGAAATGCCTTCCAAGCATTTGTTGCCTTAACTGCTTGCTCTGATTGGTGTGGCAGGTAACAGAAGACAATGCTAACGTTGAGCAAGAGAAGTGGACTGCACATTAAACTAGTCAACTGTGTATAAAGGTACATCGGTGCAATACCATATCTAAGCCATACATATTTTTTTTAAGAGGACAGACTTTAAGGTCGCGGGCAACTGGAGCCCAGCTGACTTCTGGTGAGAGAAGTGGGGAACACGTCGGATATAAAATTACCCTGATGCAATGCAATACAATGCATCCCTTTTCTGTCGTGCTTATCTCGGATGAGCAGGTGAGCTCAAGCTTACCCCAGCTGACTTTTAGCAAGAAAAGTGAGGCACACCCTGGACTGGTGTATATAGCTACAGTTACACCGATGCGAGACAAAACAATCCATCCATTTTTTTAAAATGCTTTTCTCAACAGGGCCACAGCGAACTGGAGCCTCTCCCAGCTGACTTTTGTTGAGAGAAGTGGGGCACATCATGGACTGGTTGCCAGTCAATTGTTTATAAAGATATGCCGATGCGATACCATACCGGCCGTTTTTTCTAGCATTTTTTTTTCTCAATAGCATTGCAGCTAACTGGAGCATATTTTGGGCTGTCTTTTGACCAGAGAAGCTTCCTACGTGCACCTTGAGCTGGACGCCAATCAATTCCAGGGCACATACTGACAGTGCCCTGGAATTGATTGGCGTCCAGCTCAAGGTGCACGTAGGAAGCACACGTTCACAACACACATTCACAAAAATAATTACTTAGATTCTTGAGGTCATCTTCCATGATGCATGATTTTGGTGGGTGGGGAATCAAACCGAGAACCTCTTGACCGCGAGGCGGACGTGCTAACCACGACTAACTTGAACGCAGGACAGTGACGCCCGAACAGCCTGTAGTTGCGCATGACGTCAGTAGGTGGCAGTATACACGCATACACACGCTGACCCATTGCATTTGCCAAAGTGGCTTTTTTCAGAGCAATGCATGAAGAAGACTATTTTCTTTTTCCTTCTTTTTTTTGGGTGGGAGGGGGGGCGGTGGAGTGCAATAATTCATTTAAAATTCGATACACAGACTGCCCATATTAAGACACACTCATGGTCTAAAGGTGACAAAAAGTTACTTTTGAATTCCTTGGGTACACATCGTTTTAGTCTCTGGAGTCCCGGCCCCCGAGGGCAACTTTGCCATAAACACCCGTGGAAAGGTGCACCCAAAATAAATTTGTAGCTGTTCTTGAACCATTTGCAGTATCAGCATAGCTTTGGTCTCTTTTGAAATATTCAAAACTTTATCATGATGAATATTTCTCCCATACAGTACGAATCTGTGTAAGTGCTCCTGTCACTGAACTATGGGTGTTTGAAAACAGAAAGAAAAGGTGAATCTCAAAATGTGAATCTTATGTTTGTCTCAGCTGACGACGTGCATCAGCAATTTGTTTTGACAGATGACGGAGGGCCCTTCGGCGGGCCCTCCTAACTTTAAGGGTTTAATAGAACGCTCAATATTGTCCCTCGGTGTGATTGTGAAGGGTTGTTTGTCTCAGTGTGCCCTGCGATTGGCTGGTGACCAGTTTGAGTGTAGCCCGCCTATTGCCAGCTGGGATAGGCCCCAACCTCACCTCTGACCCTCGTGTCACGTGACTGATTGGCTCGACCCTTTCAAGTGACTCTGCTCAAACACTATGGCACAAAGCCGAAAAGTAAGCCTTGGCTGCTGTGTTAGCATCAATTCGCATATCGGCTAATCAGATTAGCTGTCAACGCTGTTGGAGTTCACTTCTGATAAGACGATAAACACAAACTGGATTGCTCATTGAAACGTGTTCAAGCCCCATATGTGTGTGCGTGTGTGTGTGTGTGGAGGGGGGGGGGGTCTTTGTCTTTGTGTCCATTGCATCTGCCACATACCCAAATCTGCAACAAAGTGCAATTTGGAAGCTCTGAGATGAAGTAATGGGTTCACTCGTGAAAATACATGTCAACATAGTGTGTGTGTGTGTGTGTGTGTGTTGGGGGGCGGGGGGGTAATATGTCTGCTGCATGCACCACAATGTACAAAGCTGCTCCACGAATTGACAGGTGTTATTCAGGCATCTTGGTGATGAAGTGCTGTGTCCACCAGAGAATCTACATACAGTCTGTCAACATGCTTGGTGGATAATGGAATATTTGTCACACTCGTGGACATGGAAAGTTTGGAGTGCGGAGGGCATTTGGTGTGTCCACTGCATGTGCCACATGCACAAATTGTCCAATGTAATTAGGGCAGTTTGGTGATGAAGTGCTGCCTTTATCGGTGAAAATACAATGCTTTTAATGATTTTAAAATGTCGGTGGAACCTAATTTTGTTGACGAGCTGGCGTCGAAAAGCCTCGGTGGTGTGAATAATTGAAAAAGGCTTCGGTGTATTTTTAAACTGCTTTTTACATTCATAATGCAGACACTTGAATCCCAGTGACACTGACACACTGCTGCTCATCATCATCTGGTAATAAATACCGACATCACTGCATTGACACAGACGACCGCCTGGCACTCAGAACTATCAATCAAAAACTGAAAATCAGCCAGATGAACGCAGGTTCCACAGAAAGCAACGCGGTCGTCCACGTCGTCAGTTGTAACCCTCATAAATCACGAATTACCCAGATTCAACTTTGCGGGTGTCCTCACAGTCAAAAACCAAATCATCTTGAAAACCTCGCATGTGTTCATTTCAATTTGTGAACGACAAGGACCCTCGGCGACTTTCCCATTTTCCCACTGAGCAACGAGCCAACAAAACTCCTTTGTGTGGAAAAACCAATGACATGCCTCCCAAAGCGTGGCACAGATTAAGTTCGCGTGTGCGTGTGAGCCGCCACAGTGTTACAAATAAATAAATAAATGAGTTATTTGGACCTTGGGTCAAGGATTTGAGCGAGCGCGTTGGGTGAAGATGCAACGAGGCGTAGAAAATACAGTGAAGGAGAAATATGTTTCCAGGTTCTCAGAAAAACCGGCACGAGTTTTATAATCAACAATTTCTAAGAAGAAGCAACTTTGGTGGTCACAGTGAGTCATTGACTCCAACTTTCGGACACAACTGTTGAAAATGGCAAACAGCTACAGCTCTTCAACCCAATTTGCTGGGTCAAAATAATGGACCCAAACTTGTTTAAGAGTAACCTAATGTGCTGCAAATCCACAGCTACCCGCAGAGTGGGTTCGGAAAACAACCCGGGGAATATTTTGCTGCTCTGTGTGTGTTTGAATGTTTCCTCATTGCCGTACTACTAGCTATGCTCATCTGAGGCTTGAAGCCAGATTCTATGCACCTATGTTGAAATCTTAAAATCGACTTTTTGGCCCGCTCACGAATCACCACTGGCAAACCAACTCCCGCGATCATGCCAAAAACCAAGCGGCGTCATGCTCGGCAGAACCGAGATGAACAACCGGTCCGGCCCCCCGCCCACGTTTAACATTCAACACGGTTGGCGGCGTCTCGTTATAAAAAAAAAAGCAAATGAATAAAAATCAGCTTTTGAGGAAGATTCCAAGTGCGGCTGCTAATTGACTCGGCACAAAGGACAATGGGAAAATAATTAGACGCTAATTAAATGCCAAAGCTGAGCCAATTATTTTTCCTTCTTGTTCCTCATCAGTTTTGCCATATTGGGGCAAACAGAAATCCAGTCCAGGTGGTTGGGAAACAATACGAGAACACCCAACTGGGACGGGAAGGGAGAGATTGAGAGAGAGTGAAAACGAGCGAGAGAGCAGAGACCTCAAAAGTTGGCCAAACCAATCAATGAATTGACCGTCAAAAATTTTGCCCTTTGTCGATTAATCGTGTCTTGAAGCATTTGGAAAAACGCGGAGTGCACTCCTTGACGAATAAAATGATTTCATTCTCCGTTCGAGTGTCGGGTGGCCTAACTTGCCCGACTTCCAACGGACGCGACAGGCTGAGATTCATCCTCCAATCTTTGTCTTCAACTCAAAAGCTGTGATGATCGCAACTCCAGCGTGATGCAACGCCACCATCCACTGCCGACGGTTTGTCATTTTTAACCGTGATGTCGTCGCGAACATTTGGAAGATGAACTTGCCGAGACCCTCTT